CACTACGGAAAGAATTTTTACCGAAATTATCAAACAAGCAGATACGTAACAATATAATATAATATTCATTCTAGTTCAGCACATATTATGATTAAACCTTAGATAACCGTCACCACTTTCATCCCATTTGAGATTAAATATGTATCATTGTTTCAATTAAAATAGCAGTTTTTGATGTCTTCACTTACAAATTCATAGAAAATGCTCTTTTTTATTTCATTAAACACAAAAACATATGTTTTCTTTGTTGGAGTTTCTCTTATGCTGTTTGCATAATGATGTATCTTACCTGTTGCTTTTGTTCTTTATTAATACACTCCAACATTGCGATTCGATCACTGGATTCTTCTAAAGTCAAGCTGATGTTCTCACGTTCCTCCCCTAGGCTCTCAATTCTCTGTTCCAGATCATATTTTCTCTCCAACAAGATATCAATCTAGTAGATAGTTAAACTATTATAGGTGGATAGTTTGAACTGGTAGTAGAAACATTATGGTATATTTTGAATATGTACCATCAAATACATGCAATCAATAAACGTTAATCTGATTTAAATATGATAGTTAATATCTGTAAGTCTTTATATACTGCATTTTTGTAATATATAACTATCTATGTATGGAATTATTCAGAATTTATTATAATATTCTGTGATCCACTATTAAATAATAAATAAATTACTGGTTATGTTGTTTGAAAGAAGAGCCTATCAATAAAAAAGCCACCAGAAGTATGCATAATTATATTATGATTATAATGAAAGTGTCCATCATTTAAGTTAATGTTAACTTTCACTTTAAATGAATAATCAGAAACATATAAATAAGCATATACTAATGAAAAGTTGAAACTCTTTTTTTACCATCTCATGGTGGAAAAGGAGTATTTAAACTATTTTTACATTCTTAGAGGAGTAGAGTAATAGTACTTGGGTTCATGGGCTACAAATCCATGTGTTAATTTTATAATAGTTTCTATAAACTAAAAGAGATATACCACAATGTGCTATTTATTGAATATATTTTTCATTGTTTTCTAATAGGATTTGATGGGCTATATTTACAAGTTACATCTGTCTATAAAACATATGAGCATGCATGCATAGACAGCAGAGCTCCTTTGTATATATCATGTTAATCCACAAAAAAAATCAACCTAGCTAAGGGAAGTAGTTAGCATTTACATTCCTGTTAAAAATAAAAATAAAATTAAAATTAAATATAGCAGCACACATGGCGTAATCAAACAAACTATAGATTGCAAATTCTGAGAAAGAAATAATTCTTCCTAAGAACAAAAACTTTCAATATATAATATATCCATGTTACTACAATCTTCAAAACCAAAATGATTTCCCTTCTATAAAAGCAATGCTAAAATAATTAATTATACAGGAAATTCCTCCTAAGTTAAATTTTTTAAACATGGAGTCACTTGAATATCCTTTCTCTGCATCTTCTTCACATGAGTGATGATCCTTTTATAATAAGAAGACCAAAACTGCAATGCGATGAAAATTTTTAAACTGCTATTAGTACTACTTAAGTACTACTCATCATAACAAATCACTCTAAAGAACATTTTAGACAAATGTTTTCAAAAACAAATCCAAATTTTTATTATTTTCTACACTATCAACATTATTCTCATACAGCAAACAAGCCTTTTCTTGCTTTTTCAAAAAATATGAATGTTAGCATTTTCCTGAACTGTAAATGTATTTCCGATAGATACTTCTGCTTACAAAATGGCTTTTCTCGATTAGTACTGCCCTCTATCAGCGCAAATTTCCAATGCTCACCACTAGCCTTCCACCTCCCACTTCTGCATTTCTACATGTAAATGATTATGAAGCATCTCTCCACCAATAGGAGTGTGACACAACCCCCTATCATAACCAGCAACCTCTCCACATTTGCACTCTTTAATCACTTCGAGATTGGTCAGAAGACCTACACCACATATCACCAGAAAAAGGAAGGCTGGATGGGAACTGTGAGAAGAAGTAAGTAAGTATCTATTGGAAATACATTTTCAGTTTAGGAAAATCTTAACTTCTGATACAATAGCTTACCTCTTCTCAATAGCTAGAATCCCACACTGAACTGGTGGAGAGCCAGTGAAAAAATTATCCCCCTTTAGGAAGCACCCAAAGAGAGACCAGGAGCTGTGGAACCAAAAAAGAAAAGATCACACCTCAGTGGGAGACAGCACAATATCTGATCCAGGTATACTTTTCCCTCGTTTATGACTGTGTCTTGAACATAAACGGTGAAGAAATCCCATAATACATATTCCCAATTAATAGGACCCCTGGGTGTTAAGTGGTTAGGGTGCAACAGAATGTAGTAGTAGTTTGACCTCATCCAACACTTGGTGGAATCTGGAATTGTACAATAGTTCTGCGGTAGGCAGAGGATCACCTACTTCTTCACCTCGAAATGGAAACTGGTAGGGAAGACGAGCTTCTGTACCGAAATTCATCTCCACTTGCATTCATTTCCAACCCAACCCACACCTGATCCACCACAAACTGACAACCAGTGGATGGTAGGAAGGAGGAAAGCCCTGGTGGGATGACGTCTCCAGTCCAAAACCTGGTAGCAATTGGGTGTGCTTCTTCCAGGTCACACACAAGTGGGAATACATGTAACGTGTCCAGCTACAACCAACAACAGATATATCAGGAACTGACACCTATCAGATGGTAGGAAGATGGACCACAAACCTGGAGTGCATATCCAGTCCAAAACCTGGTGGCATTGGGTATTTATCATCCAGTCCACAGTAGGAGGAGGAATATCAGCCAGAACACATGAAAGAACTTAGTTAACTGGACCATCTCCAACCAAAACCTGACCCCCTGGAAACCACATCTGGAGGATGGTAGGTAGGAGGAACATCTCAGCCTGAGGAGCAAACTGCAATAGATATGTAGATATATCTATATACATATAGTCATGACATGGCAAAGTGCTTCAAAAAAATCTGGTGGGATCTGGAATTCTACATTAGGTCCGAGGTCGGAAGGGTGTCACACCATCCACACATGATTCTAATCATGACTGGGCCACCTCCAACCAACACCAGACGCACTGGGAATGTACATCTGGAGGGTGGTAGAAAGGAGGAATGCCACAGTGTAAAAAAAGTAATCTGTCAGACATACATACATTAATACAGCATAGTGCTACAACCAAAAGAAACCTGGCAGTATCTGGAATTGTACATCAGGTCCATAGTAGGAAGTGCTATATGCCAGCAACACCCACAGAATGCCACTACCTTACTCTCAATTGAGTGGTATGATGCATCACTCAGGAGGACAGGCCTCCATGGTCCATCACCCCAGTGGCTAGTAACTGGTAAGTGGCAAGGACTCCCATACTCCACTAGAAGAAGGGAGGGAAAAAGTGTTGGAGAGTTTGGAGGACCACATCATTGGAGATAGTGCAATAGGTGACTGAGATACCCTATTTTGAAAAGCAGAGCTACCAAGTCAACAGAGTTGATCAACTAACACCCAGTGGCATCTGAAATTGTACGTCAGGTCTGCAGTTGGAAGAATCTCAAAGCCACATAGCATCAGAGATGAGCAACAATCCCTGTCTGCTTTATTCATGTGTATCCATGAGTGCACATTCTGGACAAACATATTTATGAAGCAAAAGACCACTAGAGAAAACTATTAGCAGTCCTACATAACACCCCATCTCTACAGTGTGCATTACCTAATCCTGTGACATAATTGTTTTGGCATAGATGACAATTGAATGGAGACATACAACCAACACCTGGCGGCATCCAGAATTGCACATCAGGTCTGCAGTAAGAAGAGCTACAACATAATTGACATCAAGCATGGTCACATGATGGACAATGCAGATTTTCAAAAAAAAGTATACCTGGTCAAGCACCACTTACCATAGAGTGAAATCCACAATACGCTAGCAAAAAGGTCCCTGTAAATATAGAAATAACAAAAATGTAGTAAAGAAAAACTTAGTTTAAAGTATAAAGGAAGATATCGACAAATTTGTGAGCAAAAACAAGCACGTACATACAGTATTACTGCCAATCAGGAAGTGATTAATGAGTGCAAATGTGGAGTGGATGCTGGTTACAATAGGGTTTGTGTCGCAATAGGGTAAATGTAATTATTTACATGTGGATATGCAGAAGCAGGAGGTGGAAGGCTAGTAGCAAGCATTGAAAATCTGCACCAATAGAGGGCAGTACTAATTGAGAAAAACTCTTTTGTGAGAGGGAGTAAGATATTGTATCGGAATTACAGTTCCTAATACTGTAACACATCTTCTACTTTTTTAACCACACTTTTTCTTTTATGATTTTCTCAGGTGCATTGATTTCCCTCACAGGCAGGAATATTAACAACAGATAGTAGTGGAAATAGCAGAAAATTTTATATGGAATTTATTCTGCATTTCTGACTCTGATTGAGTTGAATAAAGAAACCAAACACTGTGTAAAATAAAGTGTAAAGTAATCTTTATTGCCATTCAAAAGAAAGTCAAAGCAGATTATTGCAAAAAATGCAAATCTGGAAAAAGTTCTTGATTAAGAATATTTGAACCTGTCTAAATTTAAGAGTTCTAATTTGTCATGATATAAAAGACTGTTTGGTTTAGATATTATTGATTAATAACCAGGTTCATACTTTTAACTTTTTTCACCTCAACATTCAAAAACAGCTCACTCAGAAGAAGATTGTCTAAAGCCTTAATGCTTTTGGAACACCTGAAAGTAGTTCAAATGAAGGCAAGTCCAAAACTAACTTCAGAGTCCATCTTTGTCATTCTAGCAGTCTCTTTTGGCACTATTTCTAAAATTTTGATATATTTCTTGCAAGCTGGGAACCAAAATTGTAAAGATAATTTATAGTACACAGTACTCAAGGTGACCTCACCAGTCTTTTGAAAGATTTCACTACCTTTCTTACTCTTAGATCTAAAATCCTTATAAATATAATCCAGAACTGTCATTTTTATTTTCACCCTGCTGAACATTCAATTAAAATTTCAGGGCTTTATTAACTGACACACCTAAATGTTTCTTTTTCTACAAAACAAGAAATATCTAACATAACAAGAAAGTCCTTTCCTAGTTATCTTCCCAACATCTCAGAATCCAACCAAACTGCTGATATATATAAAAAGGAACAATTGAGATCCCAAAACAGACTCCTGGGAAAACCTTCTGAACACACTCTCCAAGTGCAGAAATACACATATCCTCATTCTTTCTCAAATGCATTAAACTGGCTAATTAATACCTTGTGCAGCATCTTAGGAAAAATTGTCAAAAAATCATAATACATAACACTGATTGATGTGCTCTCACCCAAAAAAAGAAGCTCCATCAAGTTGCTGAAATAAAAACTATCTTGCTTTTTTCCAAAACCATGTTGTCAAATATTAAATACATTCCCACTTACCAAATGCATTTCTAAATAATATTTTCCAACATCTTGCTAACGACAGAAATAAAATTAATATGCCTATAATTATTCATCTTTTTAAAAAACAAAGATCAAAATATAATTTTGCAAGTTGTAATGGAAAAATATAAACCTTTCATTGTACTTAGTATGATCAATGAGAAAGAGACAAGAAATTTAATTTAATCAATTACAAACATTTGTAATCAATAATCAAAGTAATGTAAAAGTTCTGCTTCTTGTGCAGCAAATATATTGTAAAACGTAAGGAATCATCTTACAGTTCAATTTAGATGAAAAGGGAAAGAGATGAGTAAACATTTACCTCTTCTCTAAGCCCTTCCAGCTGTGAAACATGGTCTGTGAAGTTTGAACTCCGAACAGTGAATTGTTGTCTGAGAGACTTCAACTGCTCTGTCAGCTGTTCTTCTGACTTGGAGGCCTGTAATAATATCACTATTTGCATATTAATATTAACAAAATATAGAATAATCGTTCAATTTAACAAAGTTAACCTTGAATGTAAAAACACACTTAGGGTTCTGTCATAAATTCTTAGCCAATAACTTGTTACACTTTCTATTGGCTATATGCACAAATTAAACCATTAATATGACAGAAACTTTTAGTCAGTGGTGTAGTGCTAAATTTTAGTGTTCGAGTCAAGCTCTGCCAAAAGTTGTCAGAACTGTGACATCAGCATCAGGGTAAAGATCTCCAAAATCTAATTTCAGTTCTTGTGAATCCATTTTAAATAAAGAAAATATGTGCAGCACTAATTATTTAAGACAACTTATATTACTACTAAATTGAATACACTTATTTTACCGAGAGAAACCAAGACTCAACGTTTTTTAAATTAAGCAGCAAGGGGGAAAAATAGATACCATAAAGAAATCCGGGTGTTAAAACAAGTTTTAAAAATGCATATCTTATTAATTTACTACATATCTAACTCCTCTCCAATTTTAATAACTGTGACTTATATATTGCTGTGCTCAACTCCTATCCTGCCAATATATATATATATATATAAACATCCTACATTGTATATTATGTAAATAATACGTCTTTTACAAAGTTTTCCAATGGCACAGCTATAAGTCTGAGGGCTTACACTGTTAAAAACTGGGTTTCAATACTCATGGTGAGAATAGCACTGAAAGCCCATTGTGTAACTTTGCGCTTAACGACAAACAATTTAAAAACGTGTATGTTTTATACAAACACATTTTAATTGCAAAATGTATTTTATTACGTTTCAATACCATATTTGTTTGTCTTAATAACCATGAGATGTATGATGAAAACATTTCTCCACTTTAACATTCTAATATCTGCTCTTGAGGTGAAGCAGTTCCCTGGTGCCTGAGGCCAGCTTCTGAGGGAGAGTAACAGAGTTTGTGTGTGCTTGTTAGTCTGTGAGAGCTCTACAAGTGGACTTGCGAGATCACAAACATCCAGAGTGTTCTCTGAGAGTTTGGTTATGAAATACACTTATTTCAGGTGTAAATTGAATAAGTTACTTTTTATATAGATATTTTTAGTTTCTGACTTGTTGGGAATCAGCTCCAAGTTCACAATGCCATAGCAATGCTCTGGTGCATTCCAGCAGCACCACATTAAAAGTTCAGGTAGTTTTATATGCTCTTATGTAGAACCTATCAGACTATGTTTATCTGAGGTTTAACTGTTCATTTTATTCTTCTATTTTTGTTCAACACCTTTCCTTATAATCTGATATTAAACAACAACAAAATCCTACATTGTCGACACTTATACCATATCGATTTTCATCACCTACACATTCATCATAATCAATCATCACTTTTATCTTCTCACATCATCTGGCCAAAGAGAGAGTGTAACCTCTGTTGGCCTGCCAGCCTATTGGCTGGAAAGTGGAATGGAATCGAGTCTTAACGACCCAGCGATTTATAGCGGTCACCTTTTGTACCAATTAATTGTCTCAATCTGCCATTAGTTTTTTGTAAGTTTGAAAATATGTAACTTTTGTAAGTGGTATTTAAAATAGTTACCTCTCATTGGTATGTCATTCCTTTCTCTCTCTTTTAAATTTCATTGGACTTATATATAATTTATGTATATATATATATACACACAAGCTTATGCAGCATATGGGCTAAATGTTCTAGTCTTAATCTATTAGTCTGGATTCAGTCACACCCGTCTGTAGTTTAGAACTTCATACTAGAGAGAAAGTATTTAACTTTAAGACACATGACTATACATCGCACAAGTTTAAAAAATTTCTGTTAAAAAGGAGCATTCAATTAACTTGTAGCTAAGCAACTGAATACTGATTAGAGTTAAAAAAGATCGAACTTGACGCTGAAATTTATTATCACGGTAATTTCTGTCATTATTAACATGTTACAAACAATCCACTTTACACACCTAGGTGGTCTTCAGTTAGTATGATCCCAATGAGTCAGCGGTCAGTTTACTGACTTACAACTCTAACATCCGGAGTTATACTTCCGTGGTGATTAGGCTTGTTATGAATTTCACGCAAAGATACACGAGGGCTATCTGCGCCAGCCGTCCTTAATTTAGCAGTGTAAGACTAGAGGGAAGGCAGCTAGTCATCACCGCCAACTCTTGGGCTACTCTTTTACCAACGAATGGTGGGATTGACCATGACATTATAACGCCCCTACTCCGTGGTGAAAGAGCGTATATCGCATGCAGGCTATGTGTAGCTTTGCCCTACAATAAATTAAATATCACTTATTTTGTCGTCGCCGGAAATCAACATGCTTTATTATCATTATTTTAATTATGTTGCAGGTTAAAAAGGTGAAGTAAAAATGTAATACTTTGAAAAAAAGTTCAATATATATAGAACACATTAGACAAATCATACATATGTTCAATAATTCAGAAGTTCGGCAAGGACGTTCAAATGACAGTTTTTATGACGAATCAAAATGAACATTATGAAGTTTACAAATAGTAATAGTTTTTACTTTATCTACTTCAGCTTTGAAGTACGTATACTATCGAAAGTAACTGATCAGCAATGCTTCATTGGCTGCTGTATTGCGTGACCTCTTTAGTTGAAATTTCCTGATGTATAATAATACATGCTACAAATTTTAATCAGTTACTTTTGGTTACGCTTGGTTCTTGATCATTCGTTAAATAGATGACATGTGAACTCTACATATCATTGACAATATTTTTCAAACTTCATAAAGTTAAATGGTCATCCATTCAGCATGCTGACTAAAATTTAGATTTTTTTTTCAACTAAAACCCTATATTCTCCTTGATAAAAAACTATGTGTCCCTTGAATTGTCCTCTATTTTTATCGTTTCTCGTGCAACATTCCTTTTGTTATTTTAAAGTCACCACTGTTTCTTTTTCAGGATTTCGTTTCTTATTGCATTTTCTATTTTCCCCCTTTTCTTGAAAAAATAATTTTGTAGCATTGATGATTTATTTATGGCACCAAAATAAACAATAGTAGAGTCTGGCTTGCTTCATCTTTGTTGGAAACAAGTTTCTGCCTCATTTGGTAAATGTGTCAAGCGTGTCTCTGTAAGGGTGAATATCTCTGAGCTACCTGAACCAAAAGTTTACAACTTTAATCACTTCAACAAGTACAAATGTGTCAAGCGTGTCTCTGTAAGGGTGAATATCTCTGAGCTACCTGAACCAAAAGTTTACAACTTTAATCACTTCAACAGGTACTGATACATAAATATAGTTTCAACAACTACTTGTAATTGAAATACTTGTTCATTACACAGAGACGGCGCTAGACATAAAACGATTAAATCATTCCTCGGGGACCCCAGAAGCTCAATGGGCCCTCAGTCGCGGGAATTTTTATTATTATTTTCATCAGAACTTTGACTTTTGCCTGTGTTAGAATCATAATCATTTGAAAAAATATTTTCAATGAAATCGATCATAAAATAACATTCAGTAACGAACTGACATTTAAATATTGTAGCAGCAAGACCACAAGTGCGGTGCGCATGCGCTGATTGGTGATAAGTGCAATACACGCACAGTGTGCATGATTTGGGAAAGATACAGACGTAACGTTTTGTGAAAAGAATAACTTTTCAACAAGTGCATTAGTATTTCTTGTGTTTATATTTTCGGAGGTTTGTGGAAATAGTGCAATTAGCACTTTTTTTTTTTAGTGGGCCCCAAAAGTATTCCTGACAAGGGTCCCCAAAAGAGCTAGTACCGCCCCTGACATTATAGCAGTTATCACAATTAAAAAACAAACAAACAAACAAACAAAAAACTGCATGTAAGCATGTCCAATGAATAAAGAGAAAGACATTCAAAATATTTTTTTTTATTTTCATGGCACATCATACTTCGTCAGATGAAATGTATTAAAATTAAAATTTTCTTATGCACGTAATTAGCAATTACAGCAAATACTTCTTTCAACATATACGATACTTTAAAAACATTAAGATAAAAAGTACAAAAGTTATAATAAACGGAGCCCGAACAGTTGAAGAATTTAAACTTCCATTCTTCTTCAGGACAGGAGTAAACCGGGAAACAAGTAAAGAAAAATGAAAAGTTTTATATGTGACATTTACAAACTGTAACAGAATTTGAAAAAAAAAACTAGTGCAAAAATGATATATACAGACGAAAAATACATATATAGATATATCACCGTGTGTGCAAAAAAATAGAATTGTAATTTTTTACAGTAAATATATATATATATTAAAATAAAATATAGTCGAGAAAACTGGTTTTCAGTTGAATTTGAAGAATGTCCAAGAAAAGTTATTTAATCTCAAGGCCATAAATGGAAAATTATTACGGTTAAAACATATCATTTAATGTAAACCGCGTAAGTTTGATAAAGTTGAAAACTTAAAATAACAAGTCACATTTTCGATCTGTTGGGAATTTGAAAACTGAAAACTTAAAATGGCGTCTAATTCTAATTCTGTATTTACATTTTAGGCTTCAGCATGTTTAATGTTAGGAATTAAGCTCTGAGCCAATAACATTAAAGTATGGCTTGCGTAACTGATTTCGGAGCACGTAAACGTATTTTAATCTTCAACAAAAAATACAGTATTATAAGTCTCGCAGAGGGTCAGTGATTAGTTTACGGACTTACAAACCCAAAATCTTTACTTTTTTTTTTAGCGATATTTGAATTTCTCTTGGTCTCGAGCTTTTACGAAAGACCTCTCACACACAAGGTGAGTGCTCCATCAATTGACGTAAATGACTAGTCATCTAGACAGTAGATAGCCCAGTGGCCAGGTGGTTAGGGCGCAGATAGCCCTCGTGTAGCTTTGCGTGAAATTCATAACAGACAGCCAAACAGATAGCCCAGTATGTAGGTTCGCATTAAAAATAACAAAACTAAACACTTAAATAAACTCATTAACAGGGCCGGGATGACCGGTGGTGCAGCACGTGCATTTTCACAGGGTGGAATGTTCTTGGGGGCAACAAAACTGAATATCAAACAAGAGTGAATCCTCAATAACCGCGTCACTTGAAATTCTTTTAGGCAGGATTAGAGTAAACTTATCTATGAGACCTTTTTTTTCTTTTTATTAGCTATATTTTTGTGCGCCAGCAATACCAAGCGTTGGGCGCGTGTATTCCCGATTCATTTTTATTATTCATCAGGATCCCTACCAGCTTACCCTTAAATTGAAATTCTTTTAGCAGGATTAGAATAAATTAATCTATAAGACCTTGGGCGTGGTCAAATACACCAAATGAAAGAGTCTGACCTCCAGAGTCAAACTGTAATTAGATCTCCAATCGTTCAAGAGATGACAGAACTATGAGCTAAAAGTTTGTACTTGAAAAAAAAAACAGACAAACTCGGAGCCGTTCTTTGAGCCGCTATGCCACGGTTAAGAATTCATTGTGGTCACCAGCTGCTCTCTGGCCTAGCGCAAAATTCCCCTTCAGGGAGAATCGGTATTCTAGGGCAAAGCATACAGCTATAGTATAATACTATTGTTGCCTACAGATGATTCACAGAAAATTCGTTTGGAGGCGGGCGGCACATTCAGTGTTTGCACAGAGCGGCAAAACACAAACATCCAATTTCATAAAGAGATATTGTTTGTTTAATTATTGTTCAACACAAAGCTACACAATGGGCTGTATGCGCTTTGCCCACCGTGAGTATCATAACCCGATTGCTAACGTTATAAACTCTCTAGCATACACCTGAGCCACTGGTGAGCGATAAGGAGTTAATTTATAAAAAAAACGAGGAACAATGCTATAATCACCTGCTTCAGGACTAAAATTTAATTGTTTTCAGCATTTCGTAGGATCAAATATTATAAGTTTATATCTTGTATTGAAAGTACCTGTTTGAATCTTATTATTTATTCTACGATTCAGTTTTTCATTTAATTTGTTACATAATATTATTTTGAATCTTCATAAGCATTAGTTTTTGTTGTACTATCTGTACTGTCCTGCTACCCGATTCTACAGCTACATTAACATGTGCCATAGTAATTTATCGCAGGTGTTAGCCTACTCTAATGTTACACTGTCTGAGCCATAGGCATAATTTTCACGGGGGACATGTACCCTATTTTTTCAAGTATAGAATACCCTATGTATACCGTTCCCAGATGGGTCAGCTGTAAGTTTACAGACTTACACAGTTAAAATCCGTGGTTCGATTCCCCACGGTGGAGAGAGTGCAGATAGACCGTTGAATAGCTTTGCATTAAAGAAACTACAGCCTAACTACAAAAACTGCTCCCCACACACTTTTAAAAATCAAATTTACGGCAGTGGTCGGAAACATTTGATGGGCCTTTATTGGTCATAACATGTTGTTAGGGGCGATTGTCTAAAGTTTTGGGTATACAAATGATAAATTCATCAATGTATATTAAATCTACGACAATACATGAAGCAAACAATTAATGTTTATGTGTTCCGTATGAAAAGTATTTTCTTTCCTTAGTATTAATTTCATTAATAATATTGATTGGAATGTTTACTATGTGTATTTTTATTATTTTAATGTTTTTGTTATTATATTTTTATCACAGAAATTATTTTGCAATGCTAGCTTAGGGTATGGATTTGGAACTAACCTAAACCTCCTAAGCTGGCCGAATCTCTCAATATATTATCGGGTTTCCTGTCGAAAACATTGTTAACAACGATGCATTCAAAGCTTTATAAGACAAAACGTAAGAACAACATATTTAATTACTCTACTCATTACTAGGCTGGTTTTTAGTTTGATCTAAGTAGATAGCTTGCCTTCATCGGAAGTTAATATTAAATATCTCACTAAAACTTTAGAGGACGTGTCATTTCTTTCAAGGAAATGTTCCCAACCCAAAATACTACTGTAAGCTATATTTTTAATGTTTTAATATAGATGCTAACTAGAGGGCGTATGACATTAAGATCAAATAAGTTTAAAAAAGTAGTCCCAGAATACCTAGAATGTTCGTGAATATTAGTGATCAAGATACTTTACGAAGTGTCTAGAACCAAGACTACTTTATAAATATGAGAATCAGTGAAGCATTAGGTTAGTTTTCGGTTGGTAGAGTGCCACTCATTCAGTGAAGTATTTGGATCAGTATTAGTTTACGTTTATATCCAGTTACTCGATCGATTAGCCGTACAATTGTACAAGCAAGTTGATTTGTTTTGTAGGTTTGTCGTAATACTATTAGAGAGTAAACCTCTGTTGAAAGTGAAAACGTTATTTGTGAAATTAGGTCTACAAATACAACTGTGTACAAGTGATAGTAGCCTGTAAGTTAAGGAAGAAATAAACTAATTTGTTATTATTGCATGAGCTAGATTGGCCTTATTCTTACCTAAATAATTTAAAAGAACAACGTTACAACAATACCTTGAGTCTCACTCACCTGCTTTAGAGAAACAGCCAACCTATGATTCTGTTCCTGAAGCTCTCGAACTATTTTACTCTTCTCTGTCTCTGTCGACTTCAGCGACACTTCGTGGCCCTCGAGTTCATTTTTCAGCTCTGCAATGTCAGCCAGAAGTTCTGCCACGCGACTTTCATATTCTCCTTCCACTGAATCGAGTTTTCTCTGAAGGCCATGTTTTTCCTGCTCCAGCAGCTGTTTAATGGGAATTATAATTATATGAATATAACATGTTTATTTTCGAAAATAGATTAACCACTTGATCAAAGTCAGTATAATAAAAAATCGAAACCACATAACAGCTAATAAAAACATAAATACAGACTACTATATAGTGTCGTAATCTAAGTTCTATAAGCGCTGTATAACTATCTTTTCGCATGCATTTCTCGTTACCATTAAATTAATTTGATATTTTATTACAGTAAATGGTTATTAACAAAACAAAAAAAAGCGTCATATCATGACAGCTGACCTGATGATGAAGCTAATGTAATCAGAAATCTGTACCAGTAACTGGATTCGCAAAATCACGATTAATTATCATAATGACGTCTTCCGTGACTATTGAACTCGATGGAGAGCTTACTCAACCAAAATTTTCATACTTGCAATGACTTTTCGACCGTTTTCTGGTTATAGGTTGAGTTCAATCGTTTATAAAATATGGTTGGACACCAGACACACTGAACAGTTAAGTTAGAAATATACTACTGGTTTTATTTATACTAAACAACAACGAAGCTACTTGGTTTAAACCCAATGAGCTAGGACAACATGATACAGCTCTTGATTTTTAAATATAAAACAGATATTTTACTCTGCAAGATACGTCACATAATTATGATCGTTTTCTTTATTAACAAATAAATAAAGAGGAAAAAAAAACAGATTAACCAAAACTTTGAAGCTAAGACTAATTCTATCTACCATGAAAAAATGAAGAAGCAATGAAACAGCATAAGCTCAAACAATAACGAGGTTAAATCAAAGATTATATCCACAAGGATTGACGTGGTTAGTTTAACACTGTCCGTCAAGAAATAAACGCCAGCTAAATACCTAGACATGTTTATAGATAAGCTTAACTTTAGCAAATCTAATTACCTCCTGTTGAGTTTATTATAAGAAACTAGTTTATGAGTGACAGAATATTATAACTGCAAGATTGTTTTACAGGAAAAAACAACAAAGGGCTAATCTACGTCAACATATTTGTTTCTTTATTAGAAGTGAACTCAAATAATATGTGTCATATGGGAATTGTGCATGTACATTATTCCAGTGCAATGCAATAAATGTTGTCTTCGCTGTTCCAAGTTAGGCACGACAAAATGATGGCTCAGGTGGTAAGCCTGGGGGCTTATAACGCTAAAATTCGGGGTTCGATTCCTATGCTGTACGCATCACAAATAACCCATTGTGCAGCTTTGTGCTTAACAAACAAACAAATATTGCAGAAAAAATGGTGCTGTAATTGTATGGCAGAGACGGGTGATATCCATATCAGCGATCTCTGTTATAGGTTTACTTCAAATTAGGAAAGTTTCTCTGATTATTTTATGCTTTGAAATTAACCGTGTCCACCTTGCTTGCTGCTAAACAAGGAAATGTATTCGGGAGGTTAACTAGTTTTTAAAAATACATCATGTCATATGACAAAACAATGACGTAAGAAGCCTTCATATTTGCACAAGACCAGACTTCTTTTGGGTTATTTCAACTAAAAACCCAGATTCTATTCATTTGTTAAAATTCTCCCCCTTGATTCATGTAGAACTATGAAGAACGAAAATGACTTCCCTGCTACTTGTAGCGTTCCTCTTGAACTATCTGTTTTTCTTTGATTTTGCAGCTTCACTACCATTATTTTATAGAAATTTGCAAAAGCAAAGTTGATCTTTTTCAAAAAAAAATGCATTTAGTTTTACAGTTTCAACACGAATCATGAAAACTAATTTTGTATTTCAGTGAATGAAAAAAAAATTAAAGAAAATAACTTTAGTTAACTTACATATCAAAAACAAATCTCCCCAGGCGGACTTTGGATATATTATAGAACAGAATATTCTGGTTCTAATGATACAAAATACAGTTTAGTACAAATGTTTTACAGATATGCCCTAATTTTAGGGTTCAATGACCATTCTGACAAATAGAGGAAATTTGTTTTTGAGCAAACTGACTTCTCGTCAACAGGTTCGTGGAAAATTCTTATAATAAAAATTCAGGAGTAAATTTTGGTTTCTTCATAAGAATAGATTTTTTACCAGTATTACAATCGTGTTAACATATGGTTAACGACTCCAGAATTTATTTTAATGAAGAAAAGAATATGTATGGAAAAATAATCTTATATCGTATAAACACAGGAACCTTTAAGTATACATACTACACAATCTTGTTGTCCTCAAATTACATGTGTACATATATATATATATATTCTTCTCTAAAAGCAATAAGACGGAGATAATGAAACGAATTTCAGAGATGGGCCTAACATTAATCTAAATGGAAGTTTTTACCGAAGGTTCAAGTTTTTATCGGTTGTAAATTTTACGTGTGTTGTAATTATCGCAGAAATATTTTATCAGAAAGAAAACGCCGTGAAGAATATCACACAAAACTCGACGGTTTTTAAAATAATTTTTGAAGTTTCTTTGTTTAAGCGCAAAGTTTCACAAACAGCTACTTGCGCTGTACCATCTCAAGGATTGAATCCCGAATGTTAGTTTTATAAACTCTCCAACTTACCGCTAAGCCACTGGGGGCAATAATTTTTTAAAGAGCTTTGATACAACATTAAATATAAACAGATGATTCTAAATTAATAGTATTTAGCATTCCCTATCGGTCTGTTGAGGAAGTAATGGAGTTTTTTGAATGTCGAGTTGTCTTTATGTGCTACATTCGAGTGCAAGATTTTAACCCTCTATTGCACACTGTAACATACTGGTATTTACTTAATACATATTTGAACGCTTCAGTTCTGTAGTTGAATGCTTTTACTTCCAGGTACAAATCTAAATATACCATGGAATAATTTTTGTTACTTCCTTGATTAAACAATGTTACTTCCAGGTAACGCACCCTCACCCATTTATAACTTATCAAAATATATTTCACAAAAAAAAAACTATTTAAGTATGAAATTAAATGAAAATGTTTTTACACAGTATTTTCATGATGTGTGAAATAAAGGGTTAAATAAATGCAACGAATAAATCACGATATAAAGGACTAAATTATTTAAGTCATTTTGTAATTAACTTCTCTAATTCCACGTATAAATAAACAAAAATATTTTCAGAGCGGTTTAATGGATTGCGAATTTTTATTGAATTATTCGTAGTAATTTATTAAGTTCGTGTTACCAGCGATTATTTGTAAATACACAGAAAGTACATATCTTTCCAATTAATGTAAGTATTATTGTGTGATATGTTTAAGTACACTTATACAAGAAGCATTTCAGACGTATGCTACGCGTGTGTTTGCATTCTAGCACGTCGTTCCCATGGGAACAAAAGAAAGGTGGTACTGCCCTGACCCCTAGTGATCTGTTGTTAAACAATCAGTAATTGCTGTTATGTAATGTTTCATCCAAAATGTCACTCTTTACACTCACACTTATGTGTACATTATTAGTACGTTTTAATTTGAAATCACCGATTAATTAAAAAAGGTTCAACAAGAATAAATGTTATTAGTAATTAAATTATATGCAGATAGTTCGAAAAATGGCGTGCTAAACATTCGGCGAATTACTACAGCTTTGCCCAACAGGAAAATACAAACAATAATCAATTGATAGAAGTCCCTCGGAGGGACAGCGGTAAGTCTACGGAATTACAGCGCTAAAATCATAGGGTTTGATTCCCCTCGGTGGACACAGAAGATAGCCTGATGTGGCTTTGCTATAAAACACACACAATCACATACACAATTGAGAGAAAAATCCAAAGATACTTTCTGAATGAAGGCAAAAATATAAAATAATGTAAATTATTGCGTATGCTCAGTAACCACGTACATTTGTTACCACATCGTATTAAA